AATTGGAGGTAGTTTGAGGATCAAATTTTTGATGCTTTTTAAGCAAAAAAAAAAGGGGGGGTCGTATTATACATGAGATCATATTATACATGAATAAAAACGGTAAATTTTACGTATTATACTTGAATAAATACAGTACTTTATATTTACAGTTGGAAAACAGGAACTGGTTTGAAAATATATTTCATTACACGAGTTTTACTTTGTGAAACTGGTTAAAGGTGAAATACAAAAAGCAGTTTGATTTAAGGCTGGGATAATTTGTGGCTAAATAGATGTATAATATGCATCATATGGCAAATAATATGCCTAACAAAGGTTTAAACAATGTTAAATATTTTGTAAAGTACTCCCATATGTATATTGTTTACACTAAATATGGAAAGCATTGTGTAGTTTGAGCTGAATATCTGATTAAAAAATGATTATCTTTCTAAAAAGAATAAAGACTGGGAACAAATAGTTTTTTTAAATTGCTTTTTAGGATTCTTCATTATCTGGAAACTAGTCTTTTCTTAAAGATGGCGTAGGAACCTTGAGTTGTTATAGGCAATCACTACCTTAACTGCAGTAGATAGTATCGTAGAATAAATTTTCATAGAGGAGTCATGTTTATAACTACTCAAAGCAAAGCCCATGCAGCAGCAAGTTTTAGGTACCTGATCTCCACAACCTTACTTGGAATAAACAGAAGTATCCCTTTAAAACCAGTCAACATAACAGAGCCAAGGTTTAAACAAGAACCAGAAAAACACTGAAATCAACAGTTTCTGTTTTCATTTATATCCAATCATCAAGTAACAGATTGTCATTTAAACCTTGGATAGAAAAGAACTGATATGACTGATAAAAGCTCCATAAACCACTTCATTACATGGTTACAGCTAACAGCAGGTCAGGTGGAACATACCTGTTGAAAATACTGGGCCTGTGCAGAACCAGCTGTGGGCCCAGCAGCAGCAGCAGCAGTGGGCTGTGGGACCAGGGAGTACAGATGCTGGTTCTGACAGGCAGCCAGCTGAGACTGAACCCTGTGGGCCGGAGCCTGAGCTGCCTGCTGCCCCAGAGCCCGACTGAGACGCTCGTACAGCTGCTGAACGCCAACCTGGATGGAAGAAATGATGGGTCAGTTTCAGTCATGTCATTCAAGAGACAAGAAATGTACAGTCCAACTAAAATATCTAGTTTTTCACTTAAATGTGTAAAAGAGATTCTAAATATCTGTCTACATAAAAAATATATCTGATATATAAAAATATATAAGTGCTGGGCACGTTAACGCCTTATTATTTGGCCTAACCCAGGGGTGTCAAACTCCAGTCCTCGAGGGCCGCTATCCTGCATGTTTTAGAGGTTTTCCAGCTCCAACACACCTGATTCAGTGATTGAATTAACTCTTCAAATTGGGCAGAAGCCTGTTAATTACCCAGCGATCAAAATCTGGTGTGTTGGAGCAAGAAAACCTCTAAAACATGCAGGATAGCGGCCCTCGAGGACAGGAGTTTGACACCCCTGGCCTAACCTAACCCTTATTAGTCAGTAACATTTTGTGCAGAATAATGAAACTAAATCAAGAATTTAAGATTTTTTTGTCATTCCAAATGAGTATTATGAGGAATGAAAGAGAAATGAAAGATAGATGTCAGGAAAAAATACAATAAGCAGTAAGAAGTTAAAATGAAATACAAAAGAAAAAATGTACGTAGTGTCACACATGTATTGCAGCATACAAGCGTACACGTTCCACATCATCATTTACCCAGAATGCTTTGCATGTAAATAAAATGGCCTAGTCCAAAAAATGAACAGCCTACAGCAGGGGTGCCCAACCAGTCGCTCGAGGGCGACTGGTCGCCCACCAGCTGGTTCCCAGGTGCCTGCGAAGCGAAACCTTGCTGCCGAGCCTCTAGCGCCGGCTCAGAGCATCGGATCCCAGAGTGGCTGGTCTTGTTTGAAAGCTCTGGTTCCACCCTACAAGGTGAAAGTTGAATGAAGTCCCTGCAATGTTCCCCCGCGGAGCTATAACCAAAAACCCTCCAAAATACGCACCATCTGACCTCCCGCCGGGGTGGTTTTAGCCCCTCTCCCCGGGCTAGGAGCATCGGATCCCGGAATGGCTGGTCGGTTTTTAAAGCCCTGGTTCTGCCCTACAAGCTGATACTTGAATGGAGTCTCTGTGACATTGCCCCGCGGAGCTATAAGCAAATTACGCATGACTTAGTGCATTTTATGCGCGTTCTCGGGAGGAAATTTCAACCTTCATTTGTTTCTCCTGCGGGCTCTGAGCATCGGATCCAGGAAAGTGAGACGACTTGGAAAGCTGCAGTCCTCCTCTACAAACTGGAGGTGGTTACAAGATCCTGGGACGTTCTCCCGTGGAGCTATTAACTAGCGACTGGCCGAAAAAGGCGCTTTGGCGGGTGATATAGTACTCAATTTACTCCGGAGTCTCTAACGCCGGCTCTGAGTGTTGGATCCAGGCGGGAGATGGTTTGTTTTAAAGTTCTGAATCTCCGCTACAACCTGGAGGTGGTTGCAAGTTCCTGGGACGTTCCCCCGCAGAGATATAAGCAATCAAAAGTTGTTGGGCGAGCTCCAGCGGGTGAAACGGCTGATTTCCAGCATGGGGCTGCTTATGCTGATGCAGGGGAATAAAAGGAAGAGATCCAGTGAGGTGGAATCATGGTCCTACATCCAGCACCCGCTCTCCTGCCTGGATTTAGCCAGAAACCTCCTGGCGGGCGATATTTCTGCAAAAATGCATAAAATTCAGAAACCCACCTGATGGATCACTTCCAGGCAATAAAAGGAACAGATCTGATCAGGTGAAACTGGTCCTGGAAGCTCAGGACCGGGTTTTATAACCGCCTGCAAGACGGTTTTATATTGTGTGCTTTGATTTTGAAAAAAAAAAAAAGGGCAGCACTCTTGTAGCCATGTTGACCCTGATAGATTTTTGTTTTGTTTTTCCTCCCCTGTATGGAGAGAAGAGAGGAGAGTTCTTTGAATAAATGGAGACGAGTTCCCGTGCTCCAAAGTTATTTGACTCTGTGGTTCACAGTGTGCAGGTTTCCAGCCCTCACAGCTCACATGTTACAGTGAGTACTAACTGAAGGAGGTAAAAAAATGATCTTTTTTGTTCGAGCATCACTTTTCTGTTTCTCTGTCAGGAGTTAAGTAAGGATTTTATCTTTTTTTGTAAGTAAATAAATGGTTAAGTAGATAGTTTTGTTTGATAATACTTTAAATTAAATAAAACCAGCAACACATTACGTTCTGTTTTATTTACTTTAAAGAAGTGAGGAGTAGGGAGACAATATTATGTTTTTTTATACTGAGACTGGACAAGTAGCTCTCGGCAAACTGCCGAATTCAAAAGTAGCTCTTGGTTCAAAAAAAGGTTGGGCACCACTGGTTTACAGTATTTTTACNTTTGAATAAATGGAGACGAGTTCCCGTGCTCCAAAGTTATTTGACTCTGTGGTTCACAGTGTGCAGGTTTCCAGCCCTCACAGCTCACATGTTACAGTGAGTACTAACTGAAGGAGGTAAAAAAATGATCTTTTTTGTTCGAGCATCACTTTTCTGTTTCTCTGTCAGGAGTTAAGTAAGGATTTTATCTTTTTTTGTAAGTAAATAAATGGTTAAGTAGATAGTTTTGTTTGATAATACTTTAAATTAAATAAAACCAGCAACACATTACGTTCTGTTTTATTTACTTTAAAGAAGTGAGGAGTAGGGAGACAATATTATGTTTTTTTATACTGAGACTGGACAAGTAGCTCTCGGCAAACTGCCGAATTCAAAAGTAGCTCTTGGTTCAAAAAAAGGTTGGGCACCACTGGTTTACAGTATTTTTACAGTCTTTATTTTACAGTTAAAATATGTTTATTAAATAATGTCTAATGTTACAACTAATCATGGATCCCTTCAAGGTCATTTTTTTGTTTTGATTGAATAGTAAAAAAACAAATTTACCTCTATACGAGCTCAGCTTTACTATTAGAATAAGTCCACACCTAAGAAATGAATTTAAAAATGGCTCCAAGTGTAAAGTGTACATTAGTAGAAGTAAACATGGGTGGCTGTCAAAGTGGGGACAACATAACAATCCTTGAATACAGTTTTACAAGCTGTGCACATGAAAATTAGCTCACTTGCTACGTATAAAAATATAAGCTGAAAAGATATCTGAACACTCATGTTTGGTCTTAATCACTAAAATGCAACTGCAAAATTTCCAATTTTATCACGATTTTGAGTCTACATCTAGTTGCCGACTGCTGCAGTGACATTTGGTGTGAACAGCTGTGGTTGTGTAACACACCTGGTTGGTGTTGCTGGGCAGGTAGGTGATGGCAGTAGACAGGCAGCCTTGTGAAGCCAGCAGGTTGGCATACTGACTCATCTTCTCTGCCAGCAGGATGCCGACAGCTGCAGGAGCAGACTGCTGGGTCTGTTCCACTGCATGGCGCAGAACCACCACCTTCTCCACCAGGGCCTGACACACAAACAGCACAAAGATGTTGTTACAGTTTAATAATGTTCATTTCTGCTGCTAAATGCTTCTGTGTTCAGTCATTTTCTTTTAGTTTACTTTGACAGTTCATTTGAAGCCAACCTAAAGTGGATGTTGCTGTGAACAAAACAAACTGTTTCAGAACAATCTTTATCATTATACCTACTTATAGCTACTGTTATACCATATTTATCCGAGTATAATACAATCTCATGTATAATACAATCTCATGTATAATACAATCTCATGTATAATATGATCTCATGCATATGATCTCATGTATAATATGATCTCATGTATAATACAATCTCATGTATAATACAATCTCATGTATAATATGATCTCATGTATTTGATCTCATGTATAATATGATCTCATGTATTTGATCTCATGTATAATATGATCTCATGTATT